ACCCCAAGCGTTGATATTTGCAGGATTGCAATAAGGGTCAGGCGAACCCGGGAAAATGGAGGGAACTGCAAAAAAACTGGGTAAGTCGTGGAAAGTGCACCGTCTTGTGTCTATAGCTACATGGGTCTTTGGACTTCATTTTGTAATAAGGAGCCCCTGTTTGTGGTTTATCTTAGAAATAGCGTATGCGTTAGGAATTTCTTTATGTAGATAGGTGCTCTTATGGATTAGTAAGAGACAGTTGCTCCTTATTGCAAAATGGAATCCAATTAAGCCGTTCTTCGTGGAAACTACCTTTTTAGCGTGCAATACTGAATAAATTCTGCATATTTTTGCTGCATTTGCAGCTGAACAATATCAAGGCTCTCTTGGAATTTTCATCCCCAAATCTTCTTTATTCCTCCTCAGTCTTCCATAAGAATCATTATCATGTGTGTTGGGTCGAGTTGCTCAAATTATGTATGAAACTGCTCGATCTGAGCAACACTGGATCGCGTATACGTTGTTTCTGAAAAGAGTGAATCGATTGTGCATTTTCTGAAAAGAGTGAATCGATTGTGCATTAACGAGTATTGAAATTTGATCGTCCACAGAAAAGGACCTAGGAGTCAAATTTTTAGGACAACAGTTTTGCAAGGTTGGGCCAAAAAATCAGATCGTGAGGTTTTGAGGGAAATCCTCCCAATGCCTTAAACAATGAATTAAAGAAGGGGAGGTTAATTTTTGAACCAATAGAGATCGTATGCTTGCAATATAATGTTGTAAATTACCACAAAACCACATTTTATAATTATTTTAAAATTCCTCTTTTCGATACTATGTATGTTTTTTTACTTTTTAACTGCAAAATGCAAACTTCAACAACCATAGTTTCACACACTACAACGTTATTTGTCCGAAAAAGTTTGCAGAAAATCCTGCTCTGCTCTAGTATCAATTTAATTTTGAGTATTTTAGGATTGGGGTCCCTTTCTGAGAATGGCCACAAATATCGATGAATATAGTGAGAGAATTTTGACAAACCAAAAAATTTTTTTGTCCAGCCACGAGAGTTAAAAAGCAGAAACAACAGAGTATTAGCCTTCACTTCGAAGTTCAGGGCCTGATCTAGTGATTTCATTCGAAGCAGAATCGAAAACATTCTACCGGCAACTATTTTTCAAAAGTGGTAGAGTTCAAAAAATAAAGTAAAATAAAATTAAAATTTACACATGGGAGGCGGCATTGTATACGTATCACGTCACGTTTTTCATTCTGAGAGTTCTCTGTCATCATCCCCAAAGTCGCAAAACCAAGGATCAAATTTCGCATCAGCGATCATGTGCGTCCTCTTTTTTATGATCTTTCCCCGAGCCTCGGTTTTAGGCGAGCGACATTTATTGGCCAACTCCCCCCCTCCCGTCTCCCCATCCCCCCTCCCCCGGCACCGACGGATAGGCCAGGACCCGAAGCTCGTGGGTAATTATGACGAGCTAATTACAGCGTCATAGCTGCGGGGCAAGTTTAATCACCGGGAAAAAAATCAATCCGACGGAAAGGCGACGCCGAGGGGAGCATTGTCTTCCGCTCGCTCGTTCGCGTCTTGCGGAGGGCCGCTTTGTGCCAAACTCCAACTTCCGAACAAAACGTGCCCAGCTTCCCAGGAGCCGACGCGAAACTTCGCTGCCGTGTCACACCGTGGCGCGGCGGAGAAGCGCTACTCCACCACCCGCCCAGCGTTATCAAATAGGCGCTTCGATGGTCGGAAATATCGAAAGTCCGAGGAGTATTAGGATTGGGAAGAAAAATGCTTGAAAATTTAGGGGAAACTTAGACAAATTACGGAATTTTGATCAACCCTGAAATTTCTAAAAACTTTGCTGCTCAACCTTAAAATTTTCTCTTCCAGCATAAATCATGTGGTTTTGGTGAAAGGAATGATAACGAGGACTTGAGATGAAAAGGAGAAGCCCTCGTCGCGGCGATCGGCGTGTAACACATATTAGTGCCAACAAGACTGCATGAATACTTCACGCATAGCGTCAAACACAGTGCGGTCAGCAGCGGTCGGCGTGAAAGGCATAGCGCCTACAAGAGTGTGGGAATACCTCGCGCATTGCGCCTTACACAGTGCGGTCGGCGTGAAACGCATAGCGCCTACAAGACTGTCGGAATACTTCACGCATTGCGCCAAATACGGTGCGGTGCGGCGCGGCGCGGCGGCGGAAATTAAAATCATTGATCCACATTTATGTTTGTTCTTTCATAATTTTTTCTTTCACTTCTTATGAATGGAAGGCCTTGTCCGCACATAGAGATATGTTTACGGAACTTAACTTTCGCGCAGTTTCGTGATTTTTTGCCAGTACTATAGACAAGGCTTTCCCAAAAAATAGGTCCAACACGAGTAAATGCGTCTTATGCACCCCTCCCCCGCTGGCACGTTCTTTTGATAGTTTTTTATCGAGTTTCAACACGCATGAGAAGGGGGCGGCAAAATATAGGCGGTCCATGGGCGGCAAGTAGGTGAATCCGGCCCTGTTCAAGTCTGCTGTTTTTGCTATTAGCTGTGTTTTAGTGTCTCGCATTTCCGTATTTTCGACTTAAGGTGATTCGGAGGACGCCATATTTTGTGTCAGAACGGCATGCAATATATCGCATCAATTGGTTCCATTTTTTCAGCTACTCGTCATTTTTCTCCAATTTTGAGATCGCAATAAATTCTGTTGTCACGAGACTAAAACACTCACTTGCCAATTTTAACAAAGTAATTCAACGTAACAAAGGCGTGGTTTTTTTAGAGAGAAAATATCGCATTCGAGTGCAGTTTCGATATCAGTATCGAATGCGATGTTTTATCTCTAAAAAATCCACGCATTTATTACGTTGAATTTGTTTGTAAAAATTGGTAAGTGAGTGCTTTAGTCTCCTGACAACAGAATTGCGACCTCAAAATTCGAGAAAAACGATTAGTAGCTGAAAAAATGGAACCAATCGATGCGATTTATCGCACGTCGTTCTGACACAAAATATGGCGTCCATCGAATCACCTTGAAATCTGATTGGCTCCCGCTCACCGATCATCGGGATAACTCAGCACTGATCAATTCGTTTGATGAATGATATATGTCGCCGAATGGGCAATGGAAGTTGATTTATATCATGAGTCCTCGTCTGTACTTGGTTGGCGACGTGTCCTAGTAACGGACGGACTTGACGTCCTGGGCGAGCTCGGTGTAACTATCCCGTACGTAAGCTAAATCCGTCCGAAAACGCATTCCGGCCGGCTGAACTCGGAACCGTCGAGCCCGCATTCTGAACCCATAGCGCCAGGTCAAATGCTCCTCACCAAATTATGCATGCGCGCTTAACCTCGTGCATTTCAAAGGCAGTCTCGGTCTGCTCGACCTCGGCCGGGATTGTCGATTTTCCGGGGAAAACTCCGGAAAACGCTTGAATAAGCAGTACGTGAGGTCATATTCCAGGGTGTCTACAAGTCCGGAATTTCGAAAAGTTCGAAAAGAAGAACGAATGAATCAACATTATTCCTTGAAATTTTCCTAGAATGCGCTTCGCCCAGAGAGGAAAAATCGCGGAAATTATGAAGGATTGACGTTGCGTAGCCCTCCGTTTAAAAGAGACAGGAAAGCTGCTACGACGCAAAGCTAGATACGTGATTTGGAAGTTTCACCGTCCATTTTGGATTTCGGGAAGAGAGAAATGCATAAATTAATGGAGATAGTAGAAAAAAGAGCGAAATTTAAGTTTCAATTTTAAGGTTTTAGGAAAATTTACGGATTTCTGCCTGCAAATCAATTTCTATAAAATGTTCTCGTCGTATTGAAATGGCAATCGATTATTATCAATTCAGGGTGTCCACAAGTCCGGAATTTCCGAAAAGTCTGTAAATAGTACTAATTTTTCAAGGGCGGTCCGAAAGTACTGAAAAAGTGCGGAAATTCAGCAAGAAGGTCCGGAATTTTTTCCATTTATTCGCAGTTTGAATGAGAAATTCAAATTTTTGGAATTTTTCGAAATTCGTCAATTGGAGGTACTGAAAAAGTACTGGATTTTTCTGTTAAGGAGGTACTGAATTGTTATAGTGACTATGCTGAAAAAATACTGTAAAAGTACTGATTTATTTGGCCAGCGTGTTTTAGTAGACACCCTGTTGATGCATCAAAGCGATGGAAACATAAAAAAAAAAATTCCATTGAGAAACTCTCTTCAATCAGGGTCACCCTTTGATATTTGTAGGCTCCATACTCATCCAACTCGCCTTTAATAGTTTTCCAAAGTGATTTACTGTCATGTTGGTTCGGAGAGGAGAATTTGAAAAATCCTATCGAGAAATAATATCGTCTCCTTCGCAATGTCTTCGATTTGCCCTTTTAAATCCAAGAAATGTACCTAAATGAGACCGCAAAATGTGGCAACAAAAATTTCAACCGTAATCTATTCCTTGATTTATTTGCAGGCGTAAGGGGCTTGATGCATCGTTTCTCTGGGTCAATTTACGCTCTCGGTCTCAAAAATTCATAACTCATTCCCCCCTGAAGAACACGGTATGTCTTGCATGTAAAATTTAATAATTCTCCCTCGCAGATAGAAGCGCTGCTAAATGTATAGCATGTTAGGATGCCTGACGCTTATAATGAATGTTAAAATTATTACATGTTTCTCTCAATAACTTTTTATTTTAAATTTTATTCTTCGAGTTTTGACTTTTGACACGGAGGCCCATTGAAATTTTGAGCTGGAAAACCAGGGAAAGCTACGAGAGATATTTTCACCTAAAAATTTCGTGGACAAAAATATGCGTCAAGAAACAGAAAAACAGTGAAAATTGTGTCTCTTGTTGAAGTTTTCTTAATATCGCAAAAATTCACAATTTTTAGGAGGAAGATTTAGAAAATTAAAAGTTTTCCCATCAGAAGTGAGCGCCAAGGTCAATTTTAAAATTGACCGTAGAAATTGTTTGTTTTATGATGCATATCGATGAATCGTTTTCCCTGCTTCCGCCGAGAAAAAGCATTTTGAATTTTTTTACTGAGGGCCACCGTAGAATAACTACGCGTAATCGGGTTTAAAATTCTCAAAAAAAGGAGGCAGAACATAAAAACTCTATATATTTGTGTTTTTAGACATTACTTTGAAATATCTTTATTATTCAAAAAATATTATTCTAAGTACCATAGATCTAACATAATGATAGTATTATCCTATCATATACGCTAGCCACTATTGAAACTTTTATAATTCTTAAACGTAGCTGATAGATACCATTACTGTAAAATAGGAAGTAGCGACATTTAGGTAATGAATAAATTACGTATATCGACGGTGTAAGTCGGCAATCACATAACTCGGTTTGCGACGTCGCAGACTTCCTGTCAAATTTTATTTTTTAAACGGAAAACCACTCAACATCAATTCTTTAAAACTGCCGTTATTTTTCTTCTCTGTGCGAAGAAATTTCTGTAAAAACTTCAAGGAATGATGTCAATTTGTTCTCCTTTAAAAAAAATAACATAGATGCGGAGATTTTCAGACACCGCAAACGAGTTATGTGTTTGCCGACTTACACCGTCGATATGTTCTAAATTTTAAAAAAAAATGGGGTGTAAATACGTTCTAGGACAGAACACACCCGTTAACTACCGAACTACCAAGCTCAAGTTTTTGGAGTTGGTGCAATGTTTGAATCGCCGCAACATTCGGACACTAAACCTACGGAATCGGGGAGAGTTTAACAATCAATCATAGAAGCAGAGAGCCTTTAAGTCGAAGTCCTTGCGCTGTCATGTTTAAGACTTGTAGGGTTTCATTCCTGATTCGTCATTAACTGTACGAAGCCTCGAGCTGTCTAAACAAACATACTTCACCTCTCTTGCTTCATCAATGTGAAGGAAGAGACAGGAAAACTTGGACAATTATCGGTGCAGTGATAAGAGAGACGCTTTTCTAGAGTTAACTTATTCATTCCTCTTTTTCACTCCCCTGCAAGTTATCGACCAGGTCAATCAAACATAGTGGAGTAAAAAAAAAAATAACAAGCCTAATTCAAATTTCAACCCAGGTAAAAAAATGTTTAACATTTTACCTCCCTCCAAGTTTCCCGCCAAGTTTCCTTCGATGAAAAACGACTTTATTGGAAAAATGGTGGATATTTTTTCCCAAAATTTTCAGACAATTTTGCACGCAATCTAATCGAAAATAATATTTTCGATTTACATATTTAAGATATTTTCAAAATATCTTAAAATATGCATGAATATTGTCGTAAATACATGTTTTACCAAGGGAAATTTGCCAACTCTCGAATGCTCATACGGCGTTCTTCCTTAGCACGGCAGAGCTGACGTGTTCCCCTCTCTCTTTCTTTCGCTGAGGGAGGATTTTTCCTCCGGAGATTTCCTGGGACTGCATTTTTCCGGATGCACCAAGAACACGTAGGGCTCGGAGCTTTCACATACGGAGCTTTCGGGCTTTCAAGCGTCCGGTCACTTGGCGAAAGAGTGAGAGCGCCGTCATAACGATGTTATTTTAGCCTATTCCGCGACGAGGGGTTTTCCTTCCTGTCTCGCCTATCCAACTCGCGGGTAAACACGTGGGGGTCAGTGACGAGGCGTGGATAATCGATTATCGACATTTCCCCATTTGAAACCACGGTAAAGAATCGATAGTTAAGGTGCTCGTTGAGAGCGCCCTGCTTATCGATCCTTTTCCATAGGTTTAAGGAGTACATCAATCGATATATCGCAAAGTATGCCACGCCATTGGTGGCGGTTCACGCTCCCGGAGTTTCTCGTGCCAACCAAAACAATCCGACTTTCGCGTTTTTCGTCACCCGCGGCCGAGAAAATATCGTTGAACGGCCAATCGGTCCCCGATTAAGTGAGCTATGCTACTGTTTAAACCAGTGGCGAGGCGTGAATGATCGATTATCGATATTTCCCCATATGAGCTGTGATAAAGAATCGATTATTAGGGTGTTCGCTGCGAACACCCTGATAATCGATCCTTTTCCATACGTTTAAATGGTAGATCAATCGATGTATCGCAAAACACGCCACGCTACTGGTTTAAACCGCAGTTGAAATTTTTAAAAACTCCGGGGAAATAAGAATTCCGGAAAAAATGCAGAGGTCCGTGTAAAATTCCGAGAAATGCGTTATTGGGAAATTAAATATTCCAATCCTTGTATATAAGGCTGCTGAGCCAAATATTTTATGCCTACGGTACATATTCCATGAATATGCATGTGTGGAAAAATGACGCTGAAATTTTTAGTAAAAGTATTTAATTAAGAAACGCAGGAAAATGGGTAACCGCAAGGCGAAAAAACGTTGTCATTTTTTAGGCCTTGGCTACCCATTTTCCTGTGTTTTTTGGTTGAATTATTCAGGCTATTTGTGTATTATTGAAAAATACTTAAAATAGAAAATAGAAATACTGAAGACGATAACGACTTCTCATTTTCATCGGTCAGTCTTTCCCATTGCGCATATTTCATTACTTAAATAACTCATTCTTTTAATTCGCGGCCAAAAGTTTTCGCATGATCAATAATAGTCATAGAATTCAGGAGAACTAGGGCGTTTTCAAAAGTTTCAGGAATAATCCGAGTTCGGACAGAAATTTCTTGGGAAATTAAAAAAAAAAAAAAAAAAAAAAAAAAAAAAAACAGGCATGTTCTGAAAAAAAAATGAGAGTTCGTAACGTTTCCAAAGTTCCACAACTCAAGGTTTAATCGGAAAAATGCCCCTACTTTCCAACGGCGGGAGAATGTTGGTCAACGTGCGACTAGGGATTGTAAGGATTCAGAACTTATCAGCACTGCCAATAAAATGTAGCTACTGGATGTACTTTAAATGGCGGTATTCTATCCTTTGTGCGCCGAAAGCGGGCAACCAATGTTTACTCATCATTATTTAATCGCTTCATTTTCGTTTATAGGTCACCGATCCGCGTTACGCGCCTTCGATTAAAAATAATCCACCCGAAACGCCAGTTTGTCCATCGTACATTTTTGCTGTGGCTTTCAACAGTTCACATAGACGAACACGTGTCTCCGTTTGTAACATTGCAAACGCCTTAACTTTTGTTATTGTAGGAAGAATACTTAGTTTTTACTCGTGGTTTTATTAGTATGATTTCCCCTTCACTGTATGAAAACGTATCCTCCAAAGCCTGGTTTCTCCGTTCAATACCAACGCACAACTCGCATTTCGAAAAATACGGTGCATGACGTCGTCCACTGCGGTAGCATACACCATGCATGGTTACATACACAAGAACACAAATATTTTTATTCGTGCAAGGCAACTAACCCATTAGTCTGATTCCAAAACAAGTTAATGAGTTATAACCGTGACTATATGAAACCATTGACGGATACAGAAAATTGGAAACATTGTCTTTTCTTCACATGAACCTATGGAAATGTATCGATTCTTGGAGGGCCAGGTGCTCCAACAAGAATCGATTATTTAGCATAGGTTTAAATGGAGGCAATCCATTGTTGCCGAATTGCTGGATCTGCCTCTGAATGAAACACGAGTTGCAATCGCCGACTGAGAAAACTTCAGGATCACAACTCGGATTCTTCATTCAGTAGAAAGAGGCTCGTCGAGAATTCCAAGCCAATCGGCCTACGTCGGAAGGAGAGACCGGAAAAGCAGTGCAACTTAATCGCAAATTCAATCTCCGACGACAAAACTAAAAAGGCCCCGCGTATCACGTTTGAATTAAAAGTCAGAATCTTGATCAGAATTGTTATCCACGCCCGCTTCATTCCGAGCGAGGATCCTGCCGACAACCCAAGCGCCACTTCGCGAGGAAATAGCCAATATTTCGCTCGGCTCGGCGCGAAATTCCGCGATATTTCGCCCCGACCCGACAAACGCAACCTCGACTCCAAGCACATGCTTTTCAAAAACTCATTTATTTCCCGTCGACTGCTCGAGTGCTCGACTTGCCCCCTCCCCCGCACCCTCCCCCCCCCCCCCCCGCCGTAATGCGAGGGATGATTCCAGAATCCAGGAAGAAATGGCTTTTCGGGTCCGGGAGCATTAGACCCCCCAAAAACACTGTGATAAATTGTCGACGAACTCAAAACAAAAGCGACAATACAGGTCAGATGCGGTTCGGTGAGGAGAGAAAACCAGTGGCGTAGCGTGCCTCGCGATATATCGGTTGATCTGCCGTTTGAACCTACGGAAAAGGATCGATATACCGGGTGTTCGCAACGAATCGATGCTTTGGCATAGCTTCAAATGGGAAAATATCTAAAATCGATCATTCACGCCTCGCTGCTAGAGAAAACCGAGGTGGGGTGAGATGGGTAGGGGAAAAGTCGGTCGGGATCATTCAGGATTGTTTCGTCTCGTTTTGTTGCATTCAAAGAAATATCTAAATGATCTTTGAATTTATGAATTTTTATTTTCTCGCTCCTCCTGTCTTTTTTGTTTGTTTAAACCACGAATGTACGGAGGATCGAGCACTTTATGACCGCTTTTAAACTCTGGCTGGCAATCAAACTTGCGATTTGTAACTGATTAAT